TCGAAACGGCAATATCCAATATATATATATATATATATATATATATATAAATATCCATTCATTCATGCTCTATGCTGGTCGCGGCACAGCGGTGCTGTCCCGACACCCTCGTCTCACCCGCTGACCGACTTCCCCGCACCGGAGGGCTGCTGCTGCTGCTGCAGCAAGCTGCCAAACCCTATAATATCCTCGTAGGCGTCCGCGCTGCGGGCAGCGACGAAGAGCTTTGCGGCGTCGGCCCTTCTCGTGCGGCGCCACCAACCACCGAACGCGTCTAAGCGGTCGCTCGTCGTGCTGTAGTCGCGCACCCCATCAAAAGGCATAGCTGCTTTGCATCGGCCATGCACATCACAAACAGTCTTGCGAAGGACGTCTGTTAACCCCTCAGGAGGAAGCACAGCCCTAACGGGCAAAGAGAGTTGCGGAGGATCACCGTTGTTGTTGTTGTTATTGTTGCTTCGCATCTCGCCAATGAGGTTGTCACCCCACGTATCACTGCCGTTGACCGCCGCCGCGATCTCTTCCGCGTATTGAAACTGATGATACTCCCACGAAGATGGCACCGCGGGGGACGCGCAAATTGGGGCTCGCAGCACACGGCCCAAACATGTGTCCCACTCACTCTGCGCGTTGCATGCTTCCAATGCACTGCCCCGCTCCTTTACATGTGTGGGCAAAATGCATGTCACCTTACCGCTGTCACTGTCATCGCCGCCGCCGTCATCGTCGCAAGAGACCGTAGCAGCAGCAAGTGATTGTGGCACTGACGATGCCTTCGACGGCCACTGCTCTTCCAGTAGGAGATAGTGCAGACGATTCAGCCATTGCCGCATGTCTGTGTGGTGCTCCCTCGCAGCCATGTACTGCGATTCTCCCTCCTCACCGTACACCTCCCGCCGCAAGGCATCGGCCAGTCGCTGAAACTCTGCCACATCCCTCACCACCACCGCTCCAACTGCCTGCTCCCCTTCCTCACTGAAGGAGGGGACTGAAGACGCGCAGCCCACTGCCACCTCACTCTGCAACGAGAGTAGGCCCCGTTCCACAGCTGCCACCACGAGAAGCTGCGCGAAAAGAGTGCTACGGGCCATGGGTTCAATGCCAGTGAATGGGGTCTGCTTCCCTAAAAAATGCGCTACCTGTGCTGCGCCCATCGGTACAACATGGACCGCATCAGGGTCATGCGCCACTGATGTGGAAGAACGGCCAGAAGAACCACCAACAGACGCGGGAGATGACACAGTCACAACAATAGGGACCTTGCTGCGCTGCGCTAGGTCGCGAACAGCAGCGTAAAACGGCTTCATCGCCTCGTCGCCCAGGATAACGTCCGCATCCTCAAAGAGCAGCAGTGTTTGCGTGGCACCCTCTCGACCTCCGTTAGAAGACGCTGCTGTTCCCGCCGCTGGTGCCACCGCCACATCCAGCGCAGTATTTGTTTTCGCATCGTTCCTGCCATGCTTGCATCCGTCGTCCACGATCACCTCTACATCTGCTGCTGCAGCTGCTGCTGTTTTTGTTTCCGTCTTGGATGTATCTGTGGTGTGATCCACGTCAACATGAATAAATTCGTCTGACGGCGCCGCTTTGACACGCGGCTTGAAGAACGCGGCCACTGCCTTTGCGGAGATGACGTTAGACTTCTTCTGGCTCGTCTTCTTTGGGCATACTGCCACCGCTGCTGCAGCAGCAGCATGCTCACTCTTCAGCTTCTTCAATTCATCCTCAATGCTGACAACCGCCTTCCCTGCGGCAAGACCGCTAAGTCGCCGGCTTCGTGTCAACTCCGACAGAAGGCGATCAATGTTCTTTGGGCAGCGTCGTACGGAGGTGTTCATTTCAACCACGCGGTAGCCAAGTATCTCCGCCACAAGGTAGACAATCGCCGTCTTCCCAACACCACAGGGGCCGTGCAGCACTGCGATGTTGGTCACGTCGTCGTTTGCGTCATCGCTCGTGCCATCACTGTCATTGTCACTGAGACTGTTGAAAAGAGCTCGCCGTGTCGCGCGGGTAATTTCATCGGCACGAGCAAAGTACCCCCGCCGCTGCTCCCGCATCTTCTGCACTTCTTCCTCCTGTGCACGTTGCTCCGCCATCTTCCGCGCCAGTCGTACACTGCGGAGACGGTTGCCGTACTCATCGTACATGACATGATCACTTGTGAGCCCATACTCCACCTCATCGCATTGCCCCAACGGGGAACCAGCGTTGGGGGTCAACACACCAGTTCCCCCACCGCCTCTGTTGCTGTTGCTTTTTTCACCAAGCGTCTTGTCTGCCATGAGAACCCACTTGTTACGGTACCGCTGAAGAGCCGAGCGCTTATGAAAGGAGTTCTCCGTCTTGCTACGGTCCGCACAAGCAGATACACGTCCATCGATGCTTTCCTTCGGCATCGTCTCACCACTAAGTGAGCTGCTGCTGCTGCTGCTTATGCTTTCACTCTCGTCCAGATGGCGCCGGCCACCATTCCCCTGCCGTTGGCGTGACGCCGATTCGAGTCTTAGTACCGCCTTATTGTTCGACGCCCCCTTTGCTGCTGCTCCTTTCCCCTTCATCCCACTGGTGCTTCTGTCGCGGCGGCTCCGGCTCCCGTCCCCTTGCTCACCACGAGAGGTCTTGGCTGATGCGGCCTCTGTGGGGGAAGCCCGTTGCCACGTCCGCACCCACCGGAGGAGACGCGCCACACCTGCTGCGAAGGACGAGGTCCGAAAAAGCGGCGGTGGGAACTTGGCGTACAACATCTGACCCCCCTCCCGAGTATCGGCGCTGGTGGTTCCTGCACACACCGGCCCCGTTGCCGTGGTGATGGGGTTCTCTTCAGGGGAAGAGGCCTCTGAGTTTACCACATTCGCCTCAGCGTGGCAGACGCTACCACCACCACACCCACCACTGCTACTGCTACTGCTGCTGTTGCCACTCTTACCGCACCACTCCATGATCTGGTGAGCGTAGCACACCGCATCCTCCACGATGAGAGGCAGCTCCTTCACTCGTGCAATGTCCCGCATCTGGCTCTCCAACCGCTGCGACTGGTGGCGTCTTCGCCGCTTCTGCGCAAGGATATGGTCCACCATGCGCTCAAATGGACTCGATGGGGAGGTCGAACCGCCGCGAGCCATCACAGTGCCTGCGTCCTCCTGCTGCGCGCCTGCCCGCTCCCGCTCTTCCTCCTCCTCTCGCCACCGCTTCTGCAATTCGTCCTCCGTTCTGTAGCACTGCTGCAGGACGGCGTGCAGCAACGTGGCGAGATCGCCAGTCTGATGCGCTTCTGCACAGGCCACGGTATCACCTTCATCCGTCACACCGGGTTGCGAGGTGAATGACCAGGAACCGCACGGCTCCATGCGGAACAGCGACGTGGCGGCTGGTGCGAGCAGGAGGAGACTGTCACCATCAGGGATGGCCCGCAGCTTCGCGACATCGGCGTCATGGGCAATGTTGGCGTCAGTGGAGTCTATTGTGTGGTCACTGCTGGGGGTGATGCCGTGCGTACTCGGCAGACTCCCCAACGACCGTGCACGCTTCGTCCCAGCAGTGGGGCCTACACACACCGCGCACCGGGGCCACTGCTGCTGTTGCTGCACAGCCATGGCTGTTGTTGCTGCGGAGGCCCTCGCTTCGCACCCTGTGGGGTGCTGTGGCGACGACGATGGGGAGGAGGAAGTTGCCAACGCGAATCCATCCGCAAAGAACTCCGGAAGACTCACGGCGTGCAGGAACTGAGATGATGGCATCGTCTGGAGGGGGGGAGGAGGCACACCCTTCTCTCTCGTTCGATGCTACACACATGCATAACGAAAGAAATAAGAATGAAAAAGGAAAAGAGACACCTGAACAAAAAAGTCCTTACCACACCACCAGAAAGTAAATACAAAAGCAAGGCGTGAAGAACAGTAAACTTCCGTGCAAACGAGACCCATACACACACACACACACGCTCTGGGAAGAATCAAACATCCTCGTTTGCTTCCTCTGGTGGCAGGATAGGCACCCCACAGCGGGGACACTCGCCAGACACCTGAAGCCACTCCTTAACGTGGTGCACGTGGCCCCCGTGGCCGCAGGAGCGCAGCCACAAGTACATTCCCTCCACCACCTCCTCACAGATGACGCATGTCATGAGAGTTGTGCTGCGGCAGCGGCGACAGACAGCATTGCGCAGACCGAGACCACCAGCAAGAGGAATAACACCGTCGGCGTTCCACTTCACCTTCCCCTCTGCCTCCGCCTCGTCGGCGGAACCACCTGCGGCAGGAAGACCGCGACCGCCCTCAGAGGAGGAGGTAGAGGAGCTAAGAGAACCTGCGCAGATGCTGCCAGATTCCTCATCTGCGCTGCTCCCGTGCGCGTCCTCACCACCACTCACATCACGCGGCAGCACAGGGGTTGTGGGACGCGAGGCAAGCAACAGCTTGCTGTCTTTTGGAGGCCGCGGCACCAACTCAGCCTTTGGGCACATACCGCAGTACACACAGGTGAATAATTTCTGCGCAAAGTCCTCCGCCCGCGGCAGCCCTGGGCTGGAACCACCCATCACATCAGGCACAATCAGCAGCAGCTCGTTCAAAGGCACGTAGAGCTCCCGTGCGTACAGACGCGAGACGTACTGCTCCACCCACTGCAGGGCGCGAAGCCGCCACTGTCGTGGTGTGCAGGTGTCGTCACTGGAAGCTCCATTGCACATCGCGCCGCCTGGGGTATTGCTAGTAGTGCTGTCGTCATGGGGAAGCAGCGGGCATGGGTAGCGGTCCATGTACACATGCCGCTGCTTCCACCACAGACAGAAAAGCAGGTACAGAACGGCACAGTACTGCACATCACCGACAAGGGAAGCGTAGTCCAACTGGCTACGAACGATGGATGTGATGAGCGTGATGTTATGGCTGTGCAACGCCTGCGCAGCAGCTGCCCAGAGTTGTCCACGAGGATCGACGGAAGCCATTGCACCTCCGCCAGTTCCACGTCGCTCTCGTCTGCCATTGCTAGCCTTCGTAACGCTACTGCCTGCGCTCATGGAACCAACACCATTGCGTTTTTGCATCTCTCGCTCTCTCACTTCGCACACCTTGGCATTGTGCGCCATCATTCGGGCAAAACGGCGGTCCACTTCGTACGTGTTGACTACGGCTGTATCTTCTTCTTCGACGAAAACAGGAGGAGAGACCACTGCAGCAGCGGCAGCGGCGGCGTGACGCACAGCTCTCATTTGCCGTGCCACATCGTAGCCCACCTCCCATTGCGTCGCGTAGCGCACAAACGTCTCCTGCTCTGAGGATCGCTCCACATAGGCCCACCCGCACACTCCATCGGAGAGTGCGAATCGCTCAATCACCGGGTTGACAAGTGACCGCAGCGCCAACGGCGGTGAAGCCCCCTTTGCCGTTGCCCCGCGGCCACCGTCCTTAAACGGCGGCGTGGTGCCTGGCAGCGGCACCTCATGCAGGGAGGTTTCGGAGACGCTGGTGCCCTTTCGCCCCACCACCATGTGTGACGTCGGCCGCCGGATCACCTCATCGTCTGAGGGGGCCAGGGAGATGGGGCTGGTGACAGTCGCGCCACCAGCAACAGCAGGCAGCGCTGCTGTTGAGCGTGCCAGCCCGCCACTAAACTCTCCAAATAAGTGAACATCTGTTGGGGCCGAACTCGCTCTGTGTGATTCTGCCCTCGTTGTCGTCGTTGCAGACACAAGAGCAGCTGCTGCTCCACTGCACCGCGTCAGGAATGTCCAGGCCTTTTCGTCTTGACTGTTTTCACTCTGCACATCCAAACCACACCTGGAGTTCTGCCGGCGAGGCGCAACCGCAATCGCACGTGACGCTGGCAGGGACGACGACAACGACGGAATTTGCGGAGGAGGCGCTGCGCCTGCTATTGCTGTTGTGCATCGCTGGCCCACACCCTCTAGACCCTTGCTATCTGTCTCTGCCTCTGTGTCTCCATTGGCGACAAGCGAGGAAAGCAAGGAAAACAGCGACTCCAGCCGCCTACCGCCCGCGGTGACACTTCCTCCCGCGAGAGACAAGGTGGAGACGGAGCTGAGACCGCGTGGACAAAAAGGCGATATGTGCAATGGTGTTTGCGTCACCGACGTCTGCNGCATTGGGGTATGGCGGGCGTCAAACGTCGCGCCACTGACAGGTGTCATGCGCGTGGACTCACGGTAGTGTTTTGCCGCCACCGGCGAGCTGGAGGTAGAGAGTCCAAAGGCGCCGATCCCACCAGCAACCGTGTTGCTATGGTTGTTGCTATTGCTGCAGCTGGCTTCCCGTGCGGAGAGCTGCTCCAGCATCTCGCTCTTCTCTGCGTTGATGATCTTTGTGTAGTACTCGCGGAGGTGCGATGTCGTGTTGCGAGTCACGAAGCTGCGCCCAAAGTAGTCCGCCACCACCGCTGCTGTCGGCAGAATCGCACCGAGGCTGAACACATCAGACTCCTCCTCCACCCCTACAGTTGCGGTGTTAGGAATGCCTCCACCGCGGAAGAGCATGTCCTTGCTCGCGGTCGGCTCATCCAGCAGGCAAGTGAGAATGACCTTGCCGTCCTTGAAGACAGAGACGAGCGTCAGGGCATTCACCCAAACGCAATCCGTTGGTTCTCGCAAAGTGCGCTCGCGCTGCGTCGGTTCGCGACCGTTGCAGACACTCTTGATGGAAAAGACAGGAGAGAAGCCGTTAGCGGCATCCCATACGCTAATTTCCTGCCCATTGAGCGCCGTCGTGGCGAACCACAACTGTGAAGAGATGGCATCAATCCCACCAACATCATTGACATCAACAGAAGCGTCTCCTACCACCGCGGCCGTGCCAACAACACAGGGCCGCCACCGCAGACGGTGAAGCGAATCAACGCTGTCAATGGGAGGCACCATGTCCTGCTCCACCAGTGGCGCACCGTCACGGAGCTTGGCCAAGTAACTATTGCTGCCCCCAGTGCTGCTATAGTTCTTGTTGTTGTTGTTGTTACCCATACCGGCGGTTGGCTTCTGCGCCATCAGACTCACCTCACTTAAAACGCGGAAGAACTGCACACGCGAGTCCGTTTTCGTCTTTGCCTTTCGGTAGCACACCGCGAGGAGGTCACAGAAGGTTGGATGAAACGCAACGGCGAGACATGGTCCTGTGGTCTCCAAGCTGCGCAACACCTCCACATGCCGTCTGTCGTAAATGATCACCTTCCCCGCGTTCCCCGCCTCAACAATGACGATGATGAGGTTCGGGTCTGACGGCGAGAAGGCGACGCCACGCGTTGTGGAGCGCTCGTCATGCTCGGGCGGGCGCAGCGTGAGCCGCGGCGGGTGCACGCACTTATCCACCACCGGGATCGTCCACATCTCAAAGTGCGTCGCGTTGGAGGTGAGGGCAAGCGTGTAGGGGTTGTGTGGGTCCCACGCGATGCGCTCCACGCGGAGATGGCCGGTGCCGATCACCACCTCCACCATGCTACACGGCCCGACCGCGCGCGGCACGTAGCCAACGGTGGGCGGGCCCTGCGCCGGCGCGCCGTACGGCGTTGACGGCAGCGAAGCC